CTTCCCAAAATGAACACACAGGAGACCCCCCCCCCCTAAGTTCTTGCCTCATCCAGGTTTTGCTTTGGTTCCTCCCCTTCCTCCCACTCAAAGTGAAATCGGGATCTTTGATCAACAAGGAGCGTAAAATCCTTGCTATTTCCAACTTCCAATAACAGGCAGCAACTGAAGTGAGAAGAAAACAAAACCCTTTATTTTCAGCAAACAATGTAGGAATTCTCACAGTATGTGTGCAATGGTGAGGGGGAAAGGAGCCCGGCTGTGCAATTGATCCTATGTTCCGTTTTTTTCTAAACCGTGAAAACCCATAAATGGCAATCTGGAAAAATGCAGTGTTTGAACGCTGCACTCAGCATATCGATTATTTGTCAAACTCTGGAGGATCAAATATAAGTGCATTTTTTTTAACTGTGCAATTTTTATTTTTATTTTAACTAAAATTATTAATTACTTTAATGGCAGAAATCTCAGAATACACACTTTAAAAAAATGGCTGAAGATTCTATTACACATTATGTATACTCTCCACTGTATTATGCAACTAATACAAAGACAAATAAGAGACCTGTCCTTTCAATTCCAGCAAGTATGATGAAGGTTAAGAATTCATCCCTCTCTCAAAATAAATTAAAAGGGAGATGAGCAGCGCCCCTTAAAATCTACCACAACTAGCGGAGTAAAATCTGTGGGGATTTCTTTTTTTACCTTAACAGAAACACAGCAACTCTCCACCCTCTTCCTTGCCCCATTTGGTATGGGCCCTTCTCCAAAACCCCTTAATCAGCAGAAGCCCATTAAAGCTCATCAGAAATAACAACGTAGCCGCTACAAGCTCTGTTGCAAAACTATTACAAGCTATACAAGCCACTTTGGTCTAGTGCAGGGGTAGGCAACCTTGGCTCTTTTATGACTCGTGGACTTCAACTCCCAGAATTCCTGAGCCAGCATGGGGAAACTATGGCCCCTTCATGACTCGTGGACTTCAACTCCCAGAATTCCTGAGCCAGCATGGGGGAACTATGGCCCCTTCATGACTCGTGGACTTCAACTCCCAGAATTCCTGAGCCAGCA